TATTATTATTATTCATAGTATAGTGTTTGTGTAATGGTAGTAAAACTTCTACTCCTGTGGACATATCTAGGGTCTTGTTTTTCCCAAAGAGTTACATTTTCTTAATTATGCTTGATTGGCAAACTTTGAAGACTGTGTTCAGTACTATAGCTAATATTATCACTTTAATTAGAATTTTGTCTTTTAAAATCACCACAGGCATTGATTCACCAGTAAAACATGAAGCATTAATAGATACGGTACAGAGAAAATGTGGGAAAACCCAGGGGGTATCGCTAGCTGGCCAAGGACAAGAGTGTACCCCACCTTCCTGGGCTGCCATGTTTGATGGTTCTCACCAGATGCTTGTACAGAAAAACACATCTCCAGGAACAAATGTAGAGATTATTAACCTGAATGAAGGGAAAGCCAAAAGAAGAAGAGCACCCCTCCCACCCTCAGATAAGCCAGTGAGGCCCTCAGCGGTACAAAGGTTATCAGACCAAGGCAGCAAGGAAAACATCTGGAATTGTTCTCTCCTCACAAGCCAAAACTGCTCTTCAGATTCCAGAGTATCTTCTATACTTCACTTCAAGCAACCTATTGCAGCTCCTTGCAAACTGACTTCTTGCCAGAAAGGTACTGTTGCTGACAGTGAAGAGCTCCCGTCTTCAGCTTCTAAGGGAATTTATTGTGAAAAGCCCATTCCTGCTCCTAGGCAGAAATCAGTCAAAAGAGATTCTTGATCCCAGATCATGTTTGCATTGATTAGTCTAGTACTGGTTTTCTTCAGAATAAGAGAGATGTTTTATTTCCCTTGTTTACAATGTTATCACAAACTGAAATCTTTCACTAGAATTGCTAAGGTATCTGAAATATTTGTTCCAATGTACAGCCAGAGTTCAAGGAGCTGGGATTATCACAGGTATATTCTCTCAGCCACCCCAAAAATTTTGTTTTGCTTATCATTGCCAGTGTTGTAAACAGCTTTTTTAAAGCAAAGATACAAATCAGTGACTTGTTTTTTTAAAGGGAAGTAGAGAATGTTTTGATAGGTTCTGTTTGACTCCAAAAATCTGTACACTATTGTATTAATGTAGCGATAGTCAACCCCCAACTTTCTCCAGACTTCAAATAAGCAAGTTTCAAATTTTACAAAATATTTTTCATCAGAAAATGTTTGGGTTAGCAGAAGCTGCTGCTGGCCTTTGCCCATAAAAACTGCAGGGCCAATCTGTAGGCTATTGCGCTAACAGGATTATCTGAGTTTTTCTTTTTCTTTCGCCTTTTTTATGGGAAGGTGAAATATCTGTAGGCCTCTGCGGCTACTGCTCTCTGACCCATATGGAGTTCCTTTGTTTTTTGCCTCTTCCTTGAGCTTTAACTGCTCCAGCCCTACTTGTGCCCCAGTGAATGTAAGGATGTTTTTCCCTATGGTGCTTCCAAAGTTAACTATGCAGTGCCAGAAGTTTAAAATCCTTACTGAGGAGCCTGGAACAAAGACAATGGTTTCTACACATCTTTCTTGATGCTCCCAAGAGCATTCTATTGCAATTCTTGTCAAGAATTTTCAAATTCTGTAGCAAAGCTTACCTGGAAAATTAAGCATAGTCTTTCTTAAAATCATGTTACAGTATTAGTACAGTCAATCTCTTAGGGCAACTGACTTTAAATTTATTAGATATTTTGACACAGTACAGTTAACATAATGATCATATAAGGGGAAATTAAGCACATTGCTATAGCTGTTTCCTTTTTTTTCATGTGTGTCTTTTAGTACCCTGGTTGCACAATTGATTGTGTGACCTCTTGCAAGTCAGGCAACCTGGAAACAGCAATAAAATGCTTTCATAATTTTTCTTACATGTATAGTAAACTTCGGCAGAATTCTGCCCTTTGCATTTGTTTTCCCACCATTGTTTGTACAACAGAAATTATGAATATGATGCCGAATCGTGTGCTTGGCAGAGCCAACAGACAGGACCTTGGATCTCAAGATACTTGAAGGCCTCAAAGGTCACTGAGGCCTGCTAAACGTTCCCCCTGTGTTCTTAAATGTCAGCATCAGAATTTAGTTCTTAAATAACATGGGATGTGAGAAGAAATGTCTGTCTTTATCTAAAATACAGATGATCCTCTGAGAGGAACCATCTACATAATCAACTGTTGAGACATTTATACCTTAGCAAAATATATTCCATATTGTAAGCAGAAACATAACAGAGGAAATGAATGCATCCATTTTCAAATAATATTTAAATTTAGAATTGTTGGTTAATTGAACCTCTTAGTATATAAAAGGAAAAGTATTGTTGAAGGCACTTTCCTCAAATACTGTTGTGATTTTAACATCCCTGTTTGTGTGTGTAGGAGTCTGTTAAAATTCAAAGACATAGGTACTAGCCACTTTTTTGTGTAGTAATAATGAAGTGCAAATATGGATGGCACTGGAATCCAATTTATTGTATGTTTTGATACAGTATTTTAATGAGATTTGGTTTGATACAGTTTTAGTTTGTGTATTAATTTCTAATGCTGTGAAGATTTTTTATGTTAGGTGCAAGGTGTGTGATAGAATCTGGAGGATCTCTGACCTCGTGTTTACCATTGTTTTATGGATATTCTTAAAGGAGCAGAATAAAGATAACAGAGGGTTAGTATGACACTAATGCGCTCTAATCCATTAATGAGTACAGTAGAATCCTTTTAATTGGCATATTTCTGTTAGCAGTAGGGAGTGCCAATTAAGCAATCTTCTCAATTTTAAGACTCTCAGGAATATGCTGAGCGTACTGATATTTGCTTTTATTCCATGCCTTCAACGACAGATTAGCAGTGCGCCCTGCATTCCAAATTCCCGTCTTTATTTGATTAGCAAGTTGCAAAAAGCACAGGGAAGCTCCATGAAATATGTCCACAGAGGAAGCTTTGCTTTCACAAATGCAGTTCTAAAAGCATTTGGAAGTGTGGCTGAACTTGCAAGGCAGCTCTTAGCCAGAGAGTTTATCCTCTGAAGTTAATTGTATTTCTTTTCATCTACATTGTCCAACTATTGTGTTTTCCCATCAGGAGGCCTATTTATGTGTTGTCTACATGCTGAAATAGAACAACATTCTTGGGACGGAGAATCGCCATTTTGGTTTTAGTGTGTTGCCAGAATATCAAAACATTACCAAGGAGGGGGGAAGAGCAGAATTGTTTCTTATTGGAATTGTTAACATGTGCTCTGATTTGCTGTAAGGAATAGCTTCCCAGGCACTCATTTGCACATTTAGGTACTGAAGTGGCAAGTGTAATTATATGAGAGAACAATCTGGTATGATACGACACAGTTTAAACAAAACTGTGATCTAGAAAGCAGAGAGACTATTGAGGTCAGTGCAATAGCGGAAAGCTTTGTGTGTTTCAGAACAGTTTACAAAGCACAAATTACATAAGATAGCATCAGTTTCATGTAAAGTAGGCAGAGAATACCAACATATGAAAGGGTGAGAAGGTTGATGAGCATTCATGGGGAGAGGATCCTGAATGCTCCCTCTCTTGCCACTCTTAAGTTCCCAGGTTCTGCCTGATGTCTTTTTCATCCACAATGGACTTTCAGTACTAGAAGTGGAGTTGGGTAGTAGTAGAACTTGCTAGGAGGGAACAAACTTTTGAAATTCACTCCTGCCCTCACGTAAGTTCTGACACTATAGAGCTGGTTGTTAATTTGCCATCTTAGTGGATAGGCTGGTTCTTGGACATGACATGGGGAGAGCTCAAGTGAAAACAAGATTGGGTGTGCGTTTCTTCTTTTCCAACTGGTTCCTACTAGGGAAAGAAGAATACCTCATCTGGGCTGTCAGTGGAGGTGAAATGCACTTGAGTCGCCCTTTAGTGTGAACCTACTTAACTTGCACTTCCCAGATGAATATACATATTGAAACACAATTATCCTTTGCTTACACATTTCTCTGATTTGTGGTGCACTTCTCTGATTTAAAAAATGAACATAAGGGAAATTGCAAACCAAAGGTAAAATTAGTGGAAACTGCATACAAAATTGTTGATGAAGTTTACACAGAAAAATGCAAATACATTTCTGTGCACACTTAAAGGCATTTGCAAACTGCTGCAGGAGTGGGACCCAAAAAGGAAAGCCACCCATGCTTGTACTTGAAAAAATTATGAACACACTATACTATGAAGCATGTAGATGAGTCCATCTCCAGTTCTTCCCAACATATCACCCCAGGCTAGAACTTGGAATTTCACTTGTAGCATAGTTTGGTGGCCGCAATGAAAACAGCCAAGCTCCAATGTGACTTTCTTGTGGTGAGGGGGTGTATTGAATGCACACGTGCTGAGACTCCTCTCCTGCTGAGATCTACACACACTCATGATTCATGGACTACACTGATAAAAAGAGATTAGGGTATGGTTATGTAAGCCTTTGGCCTGTAGCTGTATACTATTGGCCATGCTGGCTGGGACTGATGGGACTTGAAGGCCAAACTGCCTGGAGGGTCCAAAGTTTTCCACGCCTAGATAGAATTGGGCCATTTCTCCTGAATCAAAGATGTAGTAAAGCTAAGCATTTGAAGGAAAAGCCCTTCTTCCCACGGCTGCTGCAATTCTCACCTGCCCCTCCCCAATTCTGAGTAGGAAAGAATTGACAAGACTTGATTCTTCTTCATCAGTCAGGTTATAATCCTATCTTTCTATTCTTCTAAATTGACATGCTCCATATTGGATTCTTCAGCCTTAAGACTGTGACAGGCAATAGCCACATATAGCTCTCAGAACACAGAGTACTTGCAGGTGCTGATATTTGAAAGGCTTGGGATGAGGGCTATAAATTTCCCTTCCATGCAACTTTTGTCCCAGAGACGAAATGCGGCCTCATTGTTGTCTGTAATCTTGGAAAAGGTTGGTGCAGTGGGTGGTAATTAAGTTTTTAAAAACTTTCTTAAGGATAGTCTGGTGATTTCTTGCATGAGAAATTTAATGCAGTGGAACTTTTTTTTGCAGTGGAACTTTTAAAAATACATAATCATGAAACAAAGCAAAAACCCAATCATTTACTAGAATGTTCCAGTTTGATTTCTATGCCTTTCTTTGTCTACCATCCAATGTTCAAGATTATCTGGTAACTACTTTACTCCTAGTTATTCTTTCCAAAATATTAATGCTTATGGTGCAAAATTAGCTCAAGGTTTTCATCCTGATCATCCTTGGGAAAGATTTTGCCCAGGTGCAAGTTAGTTAGGTGAGGAGGTGTGGTATAGAGTGCTGTGGAAGAACTGTGGGGAAAATTATGTCAAATCTATCATCCATGAAGCTCATCCAAGACCTGTCACTCTCTTCCAATTTAACCATTGTGAGGATAACATGGGATGATATTTACAGGTATGTCATCGGAACCTTGTTGGAGGAAGAGTAGAATAAAAATAGGATCGGTACTAAGTTTGTCTAATTGTTAGAATGAATCAGATGTTTCTAGATTTTCCATCTTGGTTGGGCTTTTAAGAGCTGATTTATGAATCTGTATTCATTACCTGCAATATCATCCATCACTGGCTTATTATATAATGACAGCTGAACATGTGAACTGCCTCCACTGAAATTACCCTGGGGAGTTGGGTTCTTCTTCTTTGTGGCCTCTCTGAATGCACACAAATGGGTCTTGCCTGCGCTGACATTCTTGGAGTATTCTAGAGCTAAGGTAACAATTTTATGACATGATTCCCCATGAGATACATGCTCCTCCCACCCAAGATTCCCCTCAGTTCCTTTTTTTTGCCGAGCTGTTCGTATCTCTGGAAAATAGAGCGATTTCTCATAGAGAACTAAGTAGTTTTGTAGATATTTCCTTTGATTATCTTCTTAATTGATTCCTTCCTATTTTTTCAATCAAACAATCAACATTCCCCCGTGAGTTATCTCTGCTTTTTGTCTTCTCGCCTTTTTGTCCTCCCCCCTTCTTTAACTGCCATTCCTACTGGTTTTTTTGCTACTGTTTTTGGCCTTTCTGGCTCCTTTTAAACGCTGCATTAGCTGTGCTAATAAAATCCCTCTTTCAGTCGGCCACGAAAGGTGCCTTTTTTGCCTCAGTGAGGAACATCCTACCCACTCGTGTGCGCCTGTAAAATGCTAACGAAACCAGTGTTGAAGCAAAGATTGCAAAGGCTAAGATCTTACCTTTGGCAAGCAGCCACGAACCCTCCTACACCAACAATGGAGGTGACGAGATCTCCAAGCACTTTGGTCGAGCGGCATACCTCCGGATAGCCAGCTCCCGAACCAGCAACTCCAAAATTGCCATTTAAGGAGACTGCCGATAAGAATAAATCAACGGCTAAACAAAACTTGTCCTTCACTGCTAAATCTTCTTCCCGGTAACATGATCTGACCAAAAGAAAGAAGGACAAATCAAATACTAAATAGACGAAAGAAGACAAGCCTCCTCGTATTGAGTCCCCTCAAGCGACTTTACCTTCTGCAATATTGGAGGAGTCGTCTAGAGAGGCTTGTGACTCGACCTTGGAAGGAGACGAAATACAACCATTAACACTTTCAGCTCCTGCTCTGACACCGAGCCTGGCCCCGACTGTCGGCCATTCTGCGGCTGAGCCTCTGTCCAGCCCGGTCTCGGCCCATTCCAACCCTGCATCAGGGCGGGCATTTGACAGTCCAGTGTCTCACTCTGACTCCCCTCCTCAATCTCCCAAGAAACGTCGGAAAAAAGAGGAAGCATATTTCACCACCACGACCTACTATACCATACAGAGATTATTTTCCCTTTCCAATGATCCCATACCAGTTTTTTGACCCATAACTTTTGCAGTCTCATTATGAGCAACCTCACCATGATAATCAAAAACAGGTCATATATGCACCCCCGTCTCCACAAGAACCAATTAACTCAGCATCTTTGAAGGGTCGACATAGATCTCACAAGTCGACGTCAACTGCCCCTGTTTCTATATTAACCAAATCTTCATCCAAATGTTCGAAATTAACAGCTAAATCAAAGAAACAATCACTTCAGACTACTTCTACTCTGGCAGAACCTCCAGGTGTACAAGAGCCTCGACCTTCCCGTTCATCTAATCAACACCATCCACCTTCCATACTGCCTCATTTCCTGACACCGATTATCTTTCAACATCTGCATCATCACCTTCTTCTGATGATACCCAATCTGATTTTTCTTCACAGTCATTTCCAAATATCCCTCCTCCTCCTCCTGATACAATGGACAATCATCTGTCATCTCCTTCGGAGGACTATTCCTTGTATTCTCAATTAGAATGCAGCCTTCATATCTAAGGTTTTGCAGCTTCACACCGAGGATCCTCCATTCCCTGAAGCTGATCCAGTGTTTGATGACATCAATCAGGAACATTCTCCACCTTTGAGCTTAAACTTCATCAAGTCCATGCTTGAGCTTATTAAGGACGCTTGGGACAAACCCCCGTCCACCATGCAGATTTCCAGACACACTGACAACCTTTACAAGATTCATGGTGCCGATACTGAGTTTTTAACTAAGCACCTTTTACCAAACTCAATCATTGTCGAATCTAGTCAGTCTAGGGGACGTAATCTACCATGACCCCAACTAACAAGGAAGGGAGAAAAATAGACCTAGGACGGAAAATCTATTCCTTACAGTCTTTCTTACTAAGAAACATAAATTATCAGGCTGCAATGGGGGCGTACCAGCGTCACCTCTGGAACAAGGTACTCCCTATTCTTGAATCAGCACCATAGTCCATCAAGACTGATTTAATTAATGCCCACACTGAGGCCATTACACTAGCAAAACATCAGAGAATCGCAGCTAGGCATGCAGCAGAGGTGGCATCTAAGACTCTTGTATCCTCAATCTCCATTCAATGCCATGACTGGCTCAGATCTTCTGCAATGTCGGAGGATATAAAATCAAGCATAGAGGACCTTCCATTTGACAGGACTAGCCTCTTTAACCAAAAGATCGACGAGACCATGGAAAAGATACACAATATACACAAAACTGCAAGATCTTATTCCAATCAACTGTCCTTTGGATTCCAGCGGTCTCAATACAAAAATACCCAATTTTACCTTCGGTCTTACCAACAGAATCAATATCAACGATTCCATTCATATAAACAATATTGGCCACAACAACCTGAAAGATCTCTTCCAGCTCCACAACCACTACTCCTTCCTTTCGTACCCAAAGCCAACCATGACAACGTCAACCTTTCCGTAAAACAATAAGCAGTACTAATGAATCATCTAAAATGTATATTCCACTTGTTCCTTTCCAAGTTAAATTTCAAACTAAATTAACACTGTTTTTCCGTGATTGGCAAACCATTACTAATGATACATTTTTTTTGTTTGCCAATCATCTTTTTAATGTTAAGCATGGTTACTTGATTGAGTTTGATACGTTACCCCCTTTAGGGTTTGTCACATCTACACCTTGTTCTTCTACTCTTCAAGATGGAATTTCTACCCTCCTACAAAAGCATGCTATTCTTAGAGTATCACCATATGATTGCCACAATTGCTTCTATTCCAAATATTTTACAGTTCCTAAGAAGGACAGAGGACTTCGTCCCATCCTTGATTTGAGACACCTTAATAATTTTATCTGACCGCGAAAGTTTAGAATGCTGGCACTCGACACTATTATCCCTTTGCTTTCACAGGGAGACTGGTTTGCATTAATCGATTTGCAGGATGCCTATTTTCCTATCTTAATATATCTCAACCATCAAAAATACCTCAGATTTCAATTTGACAATGTTGTGTACCAATTTTGTTCCCTACCATTTGGACTATCTACGGCCCCAAGAACTTTTACGAAGTGTATGGCACCAGTCGCAGCTTACCTGCGTTTTCAAGGACTAAACATCTATCTCTACATTGCCGACTGGTTAATAGTTGCAACATCATATCATGATGCCATAAGAGCAACGAATATCATGCTCTAAACTTCAAAGTCTTGGACTCAAAATAAATTACACAAAGTCCCATCTGAAACTAATACAGTCACTTATATCGGATCCCAACTAGATTCACTTCAAGCCAGAGCCTAAATTCTGCCAGAAAGAATTAAAAGGATAAAGAATGAACATTTATTCTTTCAACCTCAAGCACTCGTGTCAGCCCATCATGCTCAACACCTTCTCGGGCTCATAGCCTCCATGACATTGGTAATACAGCATGCGAGGCTCAAAATGAGGGCTCTTCAGTCATGGTTTCTGTCTCTGTTTGAGCCAATGACAGACTCTCCCTATCTATGAAGCTGAGGGTAATGGCAGAACTAGCCAACCAACTTACCTGGTGGACATCGATCCAGAATCTTAAGGTCGGGAGACCCTTCATGCCTCTTCAACTGACGGTGCAGGTCACCACTAATGCCAGCCCCTCAGGGTGGGGAGCTCGCTGTCTGCAACACAACACCCACAGCCTGTGGACAAAACAGGAACAATTACTGCATATCAGCCACCTAGAATTATTAGCAATCACCAGAGCCTTCCATGCTTTCTTCCCAATTATCAGAGGACACGTGCAGCTGGCAACGGACAACACAACTGCTCTCTATTATATCAACAAGCAGGGAGGTACCATTCTTTGTCCCTCTTATACCTGGCTATAGATCTATGGGAATGGTGCTACCAACACCATGTTTTTCCCATAGCAGTACACGTTTCAACAGAGGACAATTATCTGCCAGACCACCTCAGCTGGATGACATCAAGGACACACAAATGCTCTCTCAACGACACTGTGTTTCACCAATTCTGCCATCGTTGGGGAACACCAACGATCGACGTTTTCACTTCGAGGATGAACAGCAAATGCATAATCTACTGTTCTTGAGCTGGAGCAGACAACAACTCAATCGGAGATGCGTTCATGACAGACTGGTCCCTGGAATTTCTCTACCTATTCCCACCAGTACCAC